GCAAGTAACAGAAAATGATAAAAACAAAAAGTTACCATTTATAGCATCAAAAAATCAACTCCCCAGGAATAAATCTAGCAGAGATGTGCAAAATCTCTGCACACAAAACTATAAAACATTATGGGAGAAATTAAAGACCTCAATATTAAAATAAAGAACACCTAAATAATTATCCTATGGCAGTATAAGATAAACCCATACTGGAAAAATAAATGAATGAAACAATAGAATCTAGAAACAGATCCATATATATATATATATATATATATATATGTACGTATGTATGTATATGGCCTTTACTTAGGACAATGGTGGCACTCCAGGGTAGCAAAGGAAGGCAATCTTTTCAATAAATAGTGCTGGAGCAATTGAATATCCATATGGAAAAAAGTGAAACAACCCCTACACCTTAAAACTTTCATAAAAATCAATTCTAGGTGGATTATAGATCTAATGTGAAAAGCAAAACCATAAAACTTTTAGAGAAGATAATCTAGTATCCTTAAGACCTTGGGGAAGAAAAGTTTTCTTAAACAGGACACAAAAATCATTATGTAAAGATCCATTTTAACATTGCTTTATCAATGACCTTCAACTGAGGTCACTGAAATGCAGAATTATATTTCTTATATAATTCTTATATGAAATATAAGAATTATATTTCAATTTAAAAAATTAAAAAGACCGTACAAAAATGTAATGATGTGTTTTAGTAAAATCAATCTTCATATTCGTTACCAAAGCAATTCATAATTTTTATTGGATTGTTATTTATAATAATTTTTGTGTGTCTTTATAGGAATCCAGTTGGTGGAAGAATTCAGTTGGCTATTGCTATCATAGTTGCTCTTTTCCCATTTATCTCATGGGTCTATGTATATATAAACAAGGAGATGCGGTCCTCCTGGCCAACTCACTGCAAGACAGTAATTTAAATGAAGAATCCTGTTCTTAAAATGAGAGTTTACAATTTTTTGTAAACATGATTGTAACATGCCAGTTTCCTAGGAATTTATTTCAGGTAATTTGAGTTAATACTAGAGATGATTTTTTTAAAAAATCCTAAGTTAGGCTGCCTACAACACAGGACTGGAAGGGACTAGTAAGAGAAGGAGCCTGACATTCTGTTGTGTCACAGTGTAGTGGAAAAGGCAAAACACAAAAGTTCAGAAATATGAATTCTAACTCAGCTACGTCACTATCCATGTGTCTTGGGCAAATGTGTATACCTCCCATGGATAATTCTTTATCTATAAAATAGGGTTACTACCAGACCTCCTACTTATTTATATAGTTGCAAGGTTTATAACCGAGATAATATGAGAGCATTCAAAATATAAAGAGCTGACAAAGGGCTGCACCTGATAACAGAGGGAAGCAGGGTTTGGATAATGATAGAAAGAGTTCAGGAGAGGGCTGTACCCCTGAACTAACCTCCGTATACTGAACTGGTACAGTGCCGTGAATTAAATGAGGACTCCAGATGAACCAAGTGAACAAGCATGTCTTGGAAAGAAAGTTAGCTAGAATAAAGGAATGTGGGACCAAAAAGAAGGAGAGAGAGAATATTAATTACATTTTAAATGAAAAATAAGACCAAAATCTAGACACATATTTTTAATGTCAAAAGTAGCCCTGGAGAGAAGACCAGTTCAGAGCTGTACAGTCTGGTGGCCACTAGCTGCATGTTGTATTGAGCGCTTGAAATGTACACTGAAGAAGTTTGAATTTTTTCATTTTTATTTAAAAACATCAATTCAGTTATGAGAAAACTTATAAGTGTGTTTGGAACACTTGTTTTAAGTATGTCTGGAACAACTTGGATATGTGAATCTACTTCTTCAGCAGCAAATTTTATATCTAAATACGGACCAAGTATTTCCAATGAAAATTTAGTGTCCAAATGGATGGATTATAAGTATAAAATATACACTAGATTTTACAGACTTAGTATAAAAAAGAATGTGAAATATTTTTATATTGATTACATGTTAAAATAATATGTTAGATGTATTGGGGTAAATAAAATACATAACTAAAATTAATTTTATCTATTTCTATTTACTTTTTAAAATGTGACTGCTAAAATATTTCAAATTACTTATGTGGCTCACATTATATTTCTGTTGGTCAGTGCTGTCTTAGAGCATCTGGACGGCAACTCTTTTACATATGCTAGCATCAAACTCTATAGTGGAGACAGTTTCATGAGATTTAGGAAATATCTGACTCAAAAAGTATTAGTAGAGTGAAAATGAGTCTGGTAGTTTGCCTATTTTTATAGCCTTTAATACGATATTAAGTGTTTTATAAATATTTGTTAAAGGAGATAGGCATGTTTTTTGTTTTACATAATGGCCACTGGATAGTCAGAAATTCTCTATCAAGATTTAGAGGGCAAAGGAAAAAAAATCTAGTTGATATTAAAGCAATTAAAGTAAAATTTATCTTAAGGGTCAGTGAAATACAAATAAAGGATTTCAGTTTTCTGGTATATTTATGGTTTTTATACCTCCGTTAGTATAACTATTAGTCAGACATGAAGAAACAGATTTATTTCCAAATTCTATATAGGACCTACCCATCCTCCAAGTAATGCCTGATTCTGTGCTTAAAAGACTGTAATGTTTCAATTTTTTTTTAAAGTAATGTCCAAAATACACTTTCATCATATTTGCATCTCCCATATAACACTATGAATTTTGTGAATATACACATTTCCTTTCGTATCTCCAGAAGCATGTAAAAGGCAGTAACTTGGTAAAGTACTGCCTTTTGAACAGTATTACTGAAATTGCTTTTCAACTCTATTTTTCAATTGAATTTAAGTATTATTAGTAAGTTTAATAGTTCTATTGTCAAAATCTCTGTCCTCCCACCCTCACAATCTTTTTTCTCCCCATTGTCATTCTCCTATATCAGCCTCTCATTATCCACTGCCTGGAATTGACACAAATTTCCTCACACATTCCCCAGCTCAGACACCGGAGGGTTCCTCACTGCCTGACAAGTTTAGTTCTAACTCTGGCTCGTCACTCAGGGCTCTTCACCATGTAGCCCTAGCTTGTCCTTTCCCGCTTTACCGCCTGCCATCCCCCAGCGCTGTTTGGTGAATCCTCATAGCATTACTTGCAGTTCCTGAACTCAGCATATCCTATGACGCTACGCTGTTCTGTCTACATTAAATGCACCCGCACACCTATTTAAACCATTTTTCTTCCTTCTTCAAGTCATCCCTATTCCCTTCAAACAAAATTAAATCCCTCCTCCATGTTGCCACTGTCCTTTCTTCATACATTTGTATGCAGGGTTGTTTCTCTCTCTCACTTGTGGAAAGTCAGTGAAGGCAGGGAGCGCATTATAGTCACGTCAGCAGGCTGAATAATGACCCTCAAAGTATCCAGGTCCTAATCCCCAGAACCTTTGAATGTTACCTTACATCACAAAATAGACTTCCCAGATGTGATTAAGGATCTTGAGATGGGAAGATTATCCTGGATTATATGGGCAGGCCCTCAATGTAATTACAATATAAGAGGGAGGCACAGGGATATCTGACTACAGACGGAAGGGGAGAAAGGCATTGTGACAACAAAGCAGCAAGAGACTGGAAAAAGCTGCATTGCTAGCTTTGCAGATGGAGGAAGGGGCCATAAGCCAAGACATGCAAGAGATGCAGCTCTAGAAGCTGGAAAAGGCAAGGAAACCGATTCTGCCTCCGAGAGAGCATGGCCCTGATAACACCTTGATCTCAGCCCAGTGAAGACAATTTCAGACTTATGACCTCCAGAACTGTAAGAGAACAAATATATGTTGTTTAAGCCACCAGGTTTGTGGTAATTTGTTACAGCAGCCAGCGGAAACCGATACGCCTCTGTAGCCCCACAATGCTTCGTTACTCAGCAGACACACTCACGTTGACTAGTACTGGTTTTTTGTCTTCCCGTTTTTCAGTCCCTGAATCAAACTTCTTCTACACTTGAACAGTCCCCATTTGCCACTGAGTAAGTGTTTCTGCGAATAAGTCTTAGAATATATGACAGCTCAGTTAAACATGCCCCGTTTGTCTATAAAGGGAGTCAAGGGTAAATTCATTTACCTACGATAGTCTCCTATAGCACCAGCTGGGGGCCCAAACAGACATGCTGGCAGGCACACAGCTGCACTGGCACTCGGTCCTGATTTGGCTGAACTCACAAGAGGTTCACAAGGGAGACCACACATTCACCTGTGTGAATGGGGGTGCTATTCGTTCACCTGTGAAGTAACTAGTGATGCTTTTGGCTTACGAAACAGGAGTATAAACCTATAAAAGTACAAATATGATGGGTACTCTGAGCATAAAATGTCTAAAGCTCATTCACACAACTGGGTAAATGGAAAAAGTTTACCTGAGCTTATTTTATTTCTTTTTTATTATGAATTTTAACTTACATAGCTAATACAGTGAATGAATACATTCTCCTTGTAAAAAGTAAAAAAACCTCAGGTAAGGCTAAATAGAATCTGTTTGGAGGACTGTATCCCCCCCACCTCAGTCTCCTCCCTGGTTTATTCATGCTACTTTCATTCATTTCCTTTCCAGTTTTCAACACGGGACATATTATCCAAAAATGACATTTCAGAATATCTTACGAGCTAACACACACTGAAGTCAGTTATGGCCATTTGTTATGCAAACAGAATACTAAACAATGAGACTCAGGATGTGGGGAGAGGAAGGCGGAACAAACCCACAAAGCCAAGTCAGTCTCTTTCTATAAAAGTAAACAAAATCACACTAAAAATGGAAAGCTTTTTCCTTCTTGTAATTCATAATTCTGTCTGGAACTCTGCCCCTCCCTTTCAGCACCATTTTGTCAGGATAGACATGAACTGTGCCAAAGGCCTGGCTGTCTGGAGCCGTTTCAATAACCCCTTCTATGTTGACGTGGTGCACACCAAAAGGATCCTCAGAGTAGCCACCATCGTGAGTGTGACCGGCGAAGAAACACACCACACACTTGTGAGACCAAATGACTGCCAGGGCGTCTCTGTAATTCCAGGCCAGGCACACACTGTCAGAGGCCTCGGGATAAATGGGAAGATGGCCTGTTAGTTAAAGAGAAGAAGAGTTATGAGCCAATTAAGAAATACCTCTTTCACCAAAAAAAGGCTAAAAACTAGTACTCAGGATAAAGAAAATGTGTATTGCTACTCATATGGACCGAGACCAGAGAGAATCCACATACATGAAAAACTAGATAATCTAGAGCCACGTTTCTGGAGCATAAAGAAGGGCGAGACAGTTTGCATCCAAGGGGAGAGAGGCTGCTGTATACGCAGAAAGCCTGAGATCTATGGCCTACAAAGTCTCAAGATGCACAAACACCACCACGGGAGACTGAGGGCATCCCAGGCAGGGCGGTCCGTAAAGGCAGCCAGAGATCAGGTAGATGCTGCACTGGAATCCAGTCTCACTGACTTCCCTAAGAGTATGAGTGTTACACACACAGAAAGAGCTACTCCCAAGTAAAAGAACAGTTTAGGGATGGGCCAATGGATTTTATATATATATGTCATTTATATAAACACTCAATGTTTTATAAAGAACTGACTTATGCTACTTGAAATACCTCCATGAGATCAAGGTGGCCATAGGCATTTTACAGATGAGAAAACTAAGTTAAAGCAGGGAACATTCACACTAGCTTCCACCGGAGATACAGCCAAGAGAATTTCAAATTCTTGATCTCAAGGCACCTACGAGGCCACATCAACATCAGGCCACGGTTTCACTCCAACGTACAGGTACAACAGCTCACTGGTCTTTGATTCTTCCCATTAAATCATTTTCCTTTTTTCTCTATTACTGTTTATTTTTATCCTGAAATTTTATTCTGAAAATTTTATTCTGCTTAATATCTATTAGTTTATAATAAAAGTAAAAAAAGGGGAGGTAACAGAGCACACATGCGCACGCGTGCACGCACGTGCGCAGACACACACACACACACACACACACACACACACACACACACACACAACCACTCTTCAAGCTGTGATAAGGGCTGAGAGTCCCAGGAGGCTGTGTGACTTTGTAGACCCAGATGCCATGCTGGACTCATCGGACACAATTAGTCGCTCCCTCCTCTTTGAAATGCTTGGCTTCCAGAACACCGCTGTCCCCCTAGTTTTCTCCCAACCTCAACGGCTTCTGATCCTCACTCTGCTGCTTTCTCACTTCCCTAGTGTCCTGTCAGGAGTGCCCGAAGGCTTGGTCCTCAGGCTTCACTACTCCGTCTATACCTAATGGCTTGGTGATCTCTTAGTAATTTACAGTTTTAAATACTATCTGTATTCTTTCAACTTCCACATTTATATATCTGACCCAAACTTCTATTCTGAATTTCTGACTCATATGTCCCTACTGCTTACTCACCATCTCTCCTGATGTCTAATAGGCATCTGCAACTTTGTATTTTCAAACCTGAACTCCTGAACTCTTCACTCAAAACCCCTCCTACTGCAGTGTTCCATATCTCAGCTAATAGCAATTCTATCCTTCCAACTGCATGGCCAAAACTTGAGTAGGCCAAATACTTCCGAGAAGCCAAAATGAAAGTGAAGAAGCAAACAGAAACAAAAGAAAATGTCTATTAGCCATTTTAAACTTTGCTAAAGAAAACCCGAGGCACTCAGTTGTTCATCCAGTGTCTGAGCTTAGAGCAAAATGGAAGAAACGTAAGAGATGCTAACGCAGACAGGTGCACTGACAGAAGTGCAAAGAAACGGGAAGAATACGGTACGGAGGGAGACGACGACGAAAGGGGTCTCCAGTCTCAGGAGCTCTATGACTTGACCTACGTAGTTAAATCTCTTTGGGTTCAGTTTCCTTATCTTTAAAATTAAAAGGTTTGACTATATGATCTTGAGGTCCCTTTTAGCTCCAGTATTCTCTACAATAACAGGTACATTATGGCAGTGAAAACTAAAAAGCAGAGACAAGAAGTATCCCATTTTGGAAACCACTTATTACAGAGCCAAACAGTGTCACATCATGCCTATAACCCCTGATGGCACCTTATAATTTTCTAAGCCTTGAATGACATTTGATATTCTAGAAATACCCCTACTCCATCTCATATCTTTACCACATCAGTGAAAGATAAGTAAGTAAAAACTGATTAGCAGAAATATAATGGTTTTCTTTTGGCCACACCGAGTGGCTTGCCAGATCTTACTTCTCCCAGCAGGGATCGAACCCTGGCCTCGGCAGTGAAAGCGCCAAGTCCTAATCACTGGACGGCCAAGGAATTCCCTGAAATATAATTTTCTATTACCAACTACCTGAAGAGCCTGTCATTTTCAAAGGGATTTCATGTTCGTAAGTCCATTGATACAATCCTGAGAAACTGCAGTTTGCACATTCAACATCTGTCCAGAGTCACACAGGTCACAGAAACAAGAGCCATGAGCAGGAGGGCCCCTGTGACCCTCAGTACTATCTTCTCATCCATCAGGCCACATCGATGTTAACCGAGAGAACTAATCCCAGCCCCCAAACCAAGTACACCAGGCATACTGCAAATCCAGATTCAGTTCTTCATGTGTGTGTGTGCGTGCACGCACGCACACATGCTCACATACACACACGTCTATTTTAAGCACCTCCAGGTTCCTATAACCTCTAATGGCAGTATGTCTGTGAAAAATAATTCTAAACGAAAACAACACATTTTATTTCCTTGCAATCATATGGTGGACACAGTTACAGACCTGCCAGATGAGCCTCTCACACTCTTCCCGAGACACCAGCTTTGCCTTCACCTTGTCAGCAGAGGTCACTGCACTCACAGGTAGGTCTCCTGAGGCTGGGATTTGGTCTGGGGCCTGGATGGAGTTTTTCACTTATATGTATTACTACACAAATTGAACCCATTTGGGGAAATACTACTTTTAAACTTAAAGGGCCAACTCACAGGCTCTAATATATGGCAAGATGTTTTATTTTACAATTCTTTCCTGACTCAAGCTTAAATGTTAATTTTACATTCAGATTGTTTCTCAATAAAAAATTTTAAACTAAGCTTTCATTTTATAAAAATATCACAATATTAAATATTGTTAGTATGTTTTAAAACCTAACTAGACCCATTCTCTAAAATGCCAGTGTAATCAAATCATTTAAATACTTACTCACAATCACCACCTTTTCTTGGTTTCTGTCAGAGAATGTAAGAACTTCATTCAGCCAGTTCAGCTGTTCTTGGCTGAATCCTCCATTAAACTGGACAAACTGGGGCTCAGCAAGTCCTGAAACAAATTTAGTAATTTAGACCCATCAAATGTCGATTTTCCCTCATTTGGGCATTCAAACTTAGCTAACATGGGGACACTTGTACTTTTCTTTAGGAACATTTGGCAGCAATTGACTTAAAATAGGAAACCATAACAATTTAGAGCAGTGTAAATCACACTGCATCTTACTCCTAATCTCAATTCTCCTCTGCTTACTTCCCCAGCTCCCCGTTATACTGAATATACAACAGACTGTTTTCTCTGTCCACTGAGCCACTGTAAAATCACCTTGCACCCCATGGGCCCTTCTGTGCTCTTCAGTAACAGTGCCTTACACTGCTTTGCGCCTATGCACTGGTTTTTGTCTTGAGTGCTCTGCCCCACCCGCTCTTCCCAAGGCTGACTCCTTCACATCACTTAGCTGAAATGCTTTTCTCCTTAGAGAGGCTATTTCTGGCCACCTGACTAAAATGGTACCCCTAGTCGTTTTCTATAATATTGTACTTTATTTTCTTGGTGGCACTGATCACTTATTTCTGTTGCATTTATTATCTGTCCCGTCCACTTTCCTCTTGTTTCCTCTACTCCATCCATAAAAAAGTGGGACTGTCAGTATTGCCTACGCCTCTGAATAGCTGCCCTAGAAAAAGTACCCGGCCAGAACATCAGGCACTCAGTTATGTGTTAAATAAATGAATCTTGAACCAAATGCCACCAATCCATGTGCCATGAGGCGTGTGAGAAATCCTGACCCTGAACAACAGGACAATATACTTTTACCTTAATCGTCCATCTTCCTGCTGAATAAAAGGTAGCTGAAGAATTTAAAGACAATGTATTAGATTCTCAGCTCAAAGGAATAATTCACCTTGAGGACTATTCAGTTCCGCATTTGGGTTGTGCTCCCTCAGTATCTTCAGACACTGCTGGTATTTTGGAGAAGACGGATCCACGCCCAAGACACTCATGTCATAAGCATCGAGTAAAATGAACCGGAATTTAGGGAACGGTACGAAGTGATAAGCATAATAATTCCCTGAAGGCACAGTCTCAGGATGATGGGCAATCTGGTCCTCCAGAAACTTCGTGTTAAGTTTGGAGTTTGTTAAGTAGTCTCTGCTGAAGTTATAGAATTCATGATTTCCCCACGTGTGATGAACTGGGACTTTCAGCCTTTGGAATGTGTTCATGATGAGTTCTAGTGACTTTTCTGATGCTTGATACTGTGCATTATATCCATCGATGATGTCTCCAAGCTGAAGTACACAACTGGGTGGGCTGCTTTCTTTATCCCAGTGTTCGATAGCACCCTGTAAGTGAAGAAGACTGTGTCTGTAGTATCTCCGTCTGCTTCCTTGGAAATTATAGCCATCTTCCAAATCAGCATACTGAATATCTGCTATAACTCCGAAGGAGAAAAGAAGTTCTGAACTCTCACCGAGGGGTCCAGGTTCGGGCTTAGCATCCATAATCTCCAAATAGTTTTCTAAATTGAGCAAGGAAAGTGAAAAAGATAAAGTTATAAACATCTAATTTTCTAACTGGACTGAAGAAAACAGTAAAATGAATATTAAACTTAATAGTCAATCCACTAGGTAGCTTGGTACAGAGAAAAGTGCATGGGCTTTAGAGTCTGATGGTCTTATGTCCAAATTACCAAGTCCTCAAAATGCTTCAGTTTTCTCATCTGTAAAATAGATGATAACCTCTGTTCTGCAGAAGAACAGCAATTTACAAAAGGGTATTATCCTATTCGTGAACAGGCATTCTAGTTCTAGTAAAGTCAAATTCAAATCTGGTATAATTTGTAATTTTTAATAAATATACACTAGTTTTAAACAAACACACACACACACACCCCTTCTTCCAGAAACACCAAAATAATTCTATCAAAAGCTCAAGATTTCTTTTTGGTGGGGGGAGTTGTATATTACACTCATTCATTGTACTTTATACATTAGTTCCCACTAGGAGTATATTACGTTAGGCTAGATCTTTTCTCTTTGTTGATGGGTAGGTCACCTCAAATAATTTTCTCATATTTTATATATGCAATAACAGAGAGAGGAAAAAAGATAAGGATTAATTTAAACAAAAAAATCTGGCACAAAAACTATGATATTGATGTGACTGTTTTCACTTCTGTGAGTAGTGATGCCTAGTTCTTCAAAAGTTGGATTCAAATTTGTACCAGCTTTTTAAAACCTGACTACCACATTCCCCTTCTCTCTAAACAAAACAGGAAATATGTATTCTTTTTTTCTCATACATGATCTCTTCCTCAGTGGACCACAAGTGCTAGGGATTTAGACTTTAAAAAGCTATTACTTTATTAGATTGTTTACAATCTAAATTTATAATCATTTGTAATCTCTTAAAAGTGCCAAGAACACTAAGGATTAAAATAAAAGGCTAGGACCCTAAATTATCAACTATTCTTGTTATAAAAACTACAGTAATAAATTGTGTTGTGGTGTCTAGGTTATTAAAACCTAGTTGTTTCTAAAAACTCACTTGTAGTTTCTAAAATTACTTTCAGACTCCTGGTCTCCAGTCATTTGCTGAATATTCCTACTGAGTTCTTTTTAACCGTCTACAGACATGTGAAATCCTGTCAGAGTGCTCCTATGAGGTGGAGGTGACAACTCCACAATCAGCAACAAGGGCCAGATTTCTATTTGACACTTTTGAGAATTAAGGGTCTCTTTTTGGTCTAAACTGTTTGTCAATAATGACACACTTTCTATGTGATCTACCCAATTATGAGCTAAATTCCTTCCTTAATCTGGTTGGGTAGAATGAGCCCCAAAACAGGTAAAACAGAACCAGAAAAAGTGATGGAAACCCTGAAAAATTCCTTGGTGTTCTTATACTTTTTTGTTGTTGTTGTTCATTTCTTCCTGCAGTCCCATCTGAAAACCCCACTAAATACCAACTCAGTTAATATGTACGAGGGATAGGATAGATGAGATAATCTGATTTGAAAGGTGAGATACAATTAAAATAAATACAAAACTCATTTAAGCTGAAAACCCCTAGTCTTTTAAGGCTTCAAATATTTGGGATTCCAAGTATAGATTAATAAGAGAATCAAACCAGAAGATAATTTAGCAAGTGTTATCATTGGAACGTTATCACCAGAGTTTAAGAGAAAATGGTTTCTGGGAATGCTTTTATCCCCTGCTAAACAAGTTTGTTTGTTTTTACCTTTAAACTCAGTGCCTTTAGGGTAACAATATGTACTGTACATCTCCTAGAGAGTATTTTGTCCCAATTAATTTGATCTTGTCCAGCAGACCCCTGTCACTGCCGACCCAGCATTCATTTCCTGCTCTGGTCACAGCACCCCAATGTCTGTTTAGGCACCTACCCACTCTCACTCTCACGGTGTGGTTTAACCTCAACCTCCTGGCTGGAGAGGGGCAGACCCAGGACCCAGGCCTGGCCTCTAAAAGCCCAGTTTCCCTCTAGTCAGTGGGGTCAATAAGCATCAGCCCTGGGACTTTCACTGGAACTCCTAGCAAAACTACTGGAACTACTTCTGCTAAAACTGATAACTAAGACTGGAGCTGCTAGGGAAAAGTTAGCTGAGAAGAAACCCAACCTAGAAGGAAGCAATGTGACCGATGGAAGGATGTCAAGTCCTGGAAACACTAGTTGAACACTTGGATCCACCTGTCCCTGCTAGAACTACTCTTGGTCATTTAGTTCTATCAGCCAACAAAATCTCCTCTGAGTAAAGCCAAAGTGAACTGGCTTTAAGGTTTCTGTCATGCGATACCAAAAGCCCTATCAGATGCACCTTCCACCGGAACACAGTTTAGTTTAGGGAAACTCCAGGGTATCTGAAGATTTGCCAGCTTTTTAAAGAAAGTTAAGTAATGTGAAGAGAACCAGCAAGGGCCACATACTTCAAAGCAGTAATGTGTTCTAGGGTAGAAAAGAGATTCAAAATGCTCATTACATATAGCTTTTAAAGATAAGGCTAAGGATAGAAAAAAATATGCATTTTATTAAACAAAAAAATTATTTTGTAAAACAGAAACTTAAATTTATACCGTGATCTGTTAAAGAAAAGATAAGAGATAAGGGAGGACAAGACCACATTCACGGAAAGACAATTGGAATCAACAGTGAGTGAGTCAGGGCAAAAAAGAACCAAGTGGGCCGGGAATTGACTCTTCTGGCTCATTTAGAGTCTTTTGTTTTATGGTTCAGGGAGATGCCAGGGAGCTCAGAAAGACTGATCCTGGTGGACAGAGAGATCAGCAACTCAAAGACACCTCCAGTGGGGAGACTTAGAATTAACAAGCATTCCAGTGCCGTAGAACTTTTTCAAAATACTCCCCATCCTTCACCAAACACACACAAACAAGTAGATGAGTAGAGAATAATTGTTAAAGCTAAAATGGGTACATGAGGTTTATTCTCTCTACTTTTATGCATGTTTTTAAATGTCTATAATATAAAGTTTTTTAAAAGCATTCTGAAGTTTAGGGAAAAATAAAGTCTGGAAGAATTAGAAGATCTAAGAAAATAATTTGCTTTTGAAAAGAAAGCAAAATAGCAAGTTTCTAGTGAACTTGGTTCTGGAAGTTTTGCCTGCACCATTTACATACGCTAAGTTATCTAAGTTTTAGTTAAGAGGTATTATGATGAACTGCTGGAAGCTGTGAAGCTGAAAACCTAGAACTGATTGCAGTTCCAGTTTCTTAGAGCAAAATAACCCTCATCACTTGTTGAGATTCAACTGAGTTTAATACACAGTGGTCTACTTTGTAAATCATAAAGCACTCTATACGTGTTAAGAAAATTATTATTATTATTATTATTTTTTGCGGTACGTGGGCCTCTCACTGTTGTGGCCTCTCCCGTTGCGGAGCACAGGCTCCGGACACGCAGACTCAGCGGCCATGGCTCACAGGCCCAGCCACTCCACGGCATGTGGGATCTTCCTGGACCGGGGCACGAACCCGCGTCCCCTGCATCGGCAGGTGGACTCCCAACCACTGCGCCACCAGGGAAGCCCAAGAAAATTATTTTTTAATTATATATCTGCCTAGTGAACCTCAAGATAAATGAAACTACCCCAACTTTTTATAGACCAGAATAATGCAGAAAACTTAACAAGATTTCCTCAAAAAAGGTCCTACAAAAATTCATGGTGCAGGATAAGCAGTCAGCATTCTGCGAAAACCACCTTAGGCACCAATGATTTTCAAGAATAGAAGGAAATGCCCAGGGAGGCTTACTTGCTGAAAACTTGCTACAAGATGATATAAAAAACTTCTGTGATAATTAAGACTGGCAGAAGGCTGAAGGTCCTTGTAGAAAGCCCTCAAGAATCTATGGTGAGGATGTGAAGAAAGACAGCCCTTCAAACTACTGTCAAAGGAAAAAAATGTGACAAGCCTAGACTTTACTAAGGAGAGACTGTTAAGGGGAACTACTGCCATAAAAAGATGCTCAAAGCCTAAGCCAAAAGCATCTCAGGGAAGGGATGCGTGAGCCAAGTTTTTATACACAGACCCACGTGGGCTAGGTAGCTGTGGAAAAAGAAGTGAGGGGGGGGATAGCCTTGAAACTCACTATGCTAGATACAGCAATAACAGGCAAGGTGAGGCAGGAAATGTTTGTGGCTAGACACGCAGGGCGGAGATCTGCACCTGAGATGAAGCAAGTGAACTACAGGGCCGGGAAGTTAGGCCTAGCTGTCCTAGTCAAACAGCCTAAGGTTATGTCAAGCACAAAATTTGATCAGCCTTGTCACTGTTGATAGAACAAGTATCAGATGATAATATCTACATCCTGTCTCGTTCAAGGAAAGTATCTAAATTGGGAAAAAAAAGAAAAAAAACTCATTTGTGATCTTGGTGGTTTAAGAGGAGTAATAAAAGTGTGTCAAACAAAACACAATGCAGGAGGCTACAAGTAAGAAATGAATTTATTTGGGGTCTTAAGAACTGCAATTTGGGAGACACAGATTCAGGAAAAACTGAGAGTGTTCTGGGGAAGAGAAAGAGTCAGGGGCTCATAAATACGAAAAGCCACAGAGCTAGCTGCCTGTTGAGAACTGTGACTGACTCTGACACAAGTCAAGAAATATTTGTCTTTAAGGAATCAGAATTATTCCAGGCTAGGGGTCCGCTAGGTATCGTGAGTTTCCAGCACATGTTCTGGATGACTTCATTAGGACAATAAATGGTCAAAGGTCAGATTCCATCCAGGCTGAGACATGCCTAAGTCACACATCCTCAAGGGCCTCCCGACTCCATTTCAGTGAGCTCTCTTAGCAATACCAACACCATTCTGATTTTCCTCTCACAAGTGACAGGTTTACACTAGACAGTGTTTTAGGTATCTTTTAACACTAAAGTTTTATAGGTGCATGAAGTCAGGCTCAGAGGTGTTAGCAATTCATCCAATGTACAGCTATAAAACACCTACTTTCAGCCAGGAACTGTCTTAGAAGCTAGTATTTTATTTAACATTATAAATTTAATATGAAGAAGTTGTATAAAAATGCTTTGGTAAACAAATAAAGGGTCCAGCTATTAAAAGAATCACTCTGGAAAATAAAAATTAACATACCAGCTGAAAAAAAATCCTGAGTTCAATTTTAATGTATCTGACGGTTGTCTGATCAATTAACCTACAACTGAGCAAAGAGGTGAACAATAATTTTACACACTCACTGCCTGAATATGCAGGGTACTTTTGTGTCTTTTTGTCAGTTTGAGGACTACCTTCTCCCTGGAGAAACAAACACAGAGAAATAAGGTGGGGGCGGGGGAGAAGATCTGAAGCATGGGCAAGTTCAAGACAGAAAAATCAGTTTGATTAAAAATGATTTGAAGTGCTGAACATTTCCTTTGAGCCGATAATCCAGAGAAGTCCAGCTCAATTCAGGAATCAAGAAACACAGGTAATTACAGACTACTACAAACCTCCTGGTGGGCGAGCAGAGGACAACACCGCCTGATGATGCCAGTTCATAAAAAATACCCCGCCCCGGGGCCACCATCACCAGGCACCGGATGCTTCCGCTCAGCGGACGCCCTGAAAAAGGCCCCGCGGGAGTGGGATCCAAAGGTAAGAACGTTAGAAGGCGCTTTTCTTTTCCTCCTTTTTTTGTATTTTGCACATCTGCACGGAGGCGGGGAGGAGAGAGATTAAGACTAAAGATGCTGAGACAAAAACAAAGGCAAGACAGAATGAACGCGAGTTAAACTTTGGCAAGGAATGAAAAGTCAACCTACGAACGCTCTCCGCCTCGTTAACAAGGGGCTTATGTAAATACAGGCTTGTAGAAATCCTAGGGCCCAGGGAGCCCAAGTCATGGGCTGGGACATGACGCAGGAGAGACACCACTCCGTACAGTGCCGGTATTTCTATTCAGGTTCCTTATACCCTGCGAATATAAATCCCAGGCAGTTCAGTCATACTTGACCAGTCCTTGTCACCCTAACCGCTCAAATATCCTAATCAACAAATGTGTTTAAAAAGTCGCACAGGGCTTCCCTGGTGGCGCAGTGGTTGAGAGTCCGCCTGCCGATGCAGGGGACACGGGTTCGTGCCCTGGCCGGGGAAGATCCCACATGCCACGGAGCGGCTGGGCCCGTGAGCCATGGCCGCTGAGCCTGCGCGTCCGGAGCCTGTGCTCCGCAACGGGAGAGGCCACAACAGTTAGAGGCCCGCGTACCGCAAAAAAAAAAAAAAAAAAAAAAGTCGCACATTATTTCAAGCGCAGTGGGTCCGCTTCTACGTTAGGGGTGTAAAGCGGTCAAGGACCGGCCTCCAGGCTGAGGACGGGGGCTGCCCGGTGCCGGCCGTCTCCGGACGCCGTTTTCTCTTTTCCGAGGCTGGGGGCACCCGGTGGGGAAGGAGAGGCTGCGGTCGCCGAAGCCCCGGGCCACTGAGCTGCACTCAGGCCTCCCGGCTCAGCTCCCGCCGCGCAGCCCGATCCCCGGTGCGGCCCGCTCCTCCGGGCCCTGCCAGCTCCCGAGGGCCCTGCCGCCCGCCCGCGTAGGCCTAGCCCAGCCCGGCCCACCCCGCCCCGCCTCCAGCCGCGAGGAACCACCTACCGCGCGCCGACTCCGCAGGGAAGGGCTCCCAGACTACCGGCTGGCCGACCGCGTCACCATCGAGCGCAGCGGAAAGAGCGGCTCTCCCTCACTTTCGGAGGAAGCGGAAACGGTGCCGGAAGTCGAGGGGCGGGGAAAAGGATGCGCGGTCTCTCGAGCTCATGGCGGGGTTGTTGCGCGCGTCCGGCCGGGTAATGCGGCTTCCGAGTAGTAAACTTTGGTGTCTCTTGCCTCGCGGCCTCGGGGTTTGGGGCCCCGGGGAGGGGACCGCGAAGGTCATGCTGGGGCGGTTCCGCGCGCCGCCAGAGGAGGCGTGGCAGGCCTCGGGGCTCGTTGGCAGCTGCCTGCGGTGCCGGCTCCTCAGCACGGCGAGGCAGCCCCCGCCCGGGTCGTCAGGACGGGAGCCGAAGGGCGGCGGAGACCCCACGCGCCCCTCGCAGCCCCGGGTGAGTGCACACCTGGAGCCCTGCCTTTGCTCGCCAGTCAACCCTCCGCGCCCTTCCCATGCCACTTGGTCATAACCTCAGAAACCACTCGGCCTCAAGTTGTCCTCCACTCCGCCGGTTGACCTCCCTGGGTCACAGAATCTCATCCCGCATTTTCCTCCGGTTTGCCCGGACCCTCAGCGGTAAAGAGAACCTCAGAACCGACACCCTCTCCACGTGGTTAGATACCCGGGCTTGGATTTTAGTTAGCTTTTGCGCCAAGAAAATAAGTTTCAGGTGTTCTAAGCGTGGGGGCTGGGTCTCAACCTTAAGTTTCCCATGATTGAAGCGCGTCAGAGCATTTTTATTATTTATCACTTGGCTCTCCCTTCGGAGGTCTGGTGTGTATATGCTGAAATTGAGCACATGTGGGTCGTAGTGGCGTGCTGGATATGCCTTTTTTCTTTGGTTTCTCCCGGGTTCTAGTTCTGACCCCAAAAGAACTTAAGAGCCATTAGGCTCTAGTGATAGGCAAGAGAAGTGGTCTTCGGAGCTGGGGGAAGGTTAATGAGTTATTTTATCTGGGGACTTGGAAAAAGTACAAAGAAATAATGATGCAGTTTGCAAGACGTTCCACTTTTAGCTGTCTTCTACTTTGGCTTTGTTACTTTTGGAAGCCAGAGTTAGGTTAACCTCCTAAATTTATTTGGTTTATTTCCTTGTATTCTCAGTATCAGCACAGGCAGGTGATTACTGGTTTTTAAATCAGCAGTTGGGATCTGGGTCACACGTGGTAACAATCATGGTGCTTGAGCCTTGGGTCTTTTTTTCCACATGAAAGGAAATCGACTTAGGGAACCTTCCCTTGGAAAGAAGTGCCTTTGTAATTGTGTTAGGAGCTCAGATGGAACTGCATCCCCAGAAACTTTCAGTATTTTCTCATCCCAAAGTAACGTGAAACATGCTGTCCGTTTAACAAGATTGAGGCCTGTGTGTAGGTATCTTCAAAAATACTGTAATAAATTTAGTGTGATTAAATGTTTTCATCTTTTTAGTATTTTTATTTTTGAAATCTCTGCCCCAGTAGCCTGTTTCCTGGAAGTCCTTAGCCATCACATTTGCTATTGGAGGAGTTTTACTGGCTGGGATGAAGTACTTCAAGAAAGAAAAGACAGAGAGTAAGTAGATATCATCTGGTCAGCGCTGAATAAAATCCTTCCTGGCTGTGGACTGTCATCTTTTTGTCATTGTTGTTTTTAAGCTTTTTATCTAGAAATAATTTTAGGTTTACAGAAGAGTTGTAAAAATGACAGTTTCCATGTATCTTTCACCTTTCTTCCCCTAATGTTAATATCTTGTATAACTATGGCTGATTTATCAAAAGTGAGAAATTAAAGTTCATACAGTACTGTTCCCTAACCTACAAACTTTATTTGGATTTCACCTGTTTTTCCACTGTCTTATGTGTTCAGGGCACCACTGTCTAACCATGTGAAAAGACTTATTGTGGACAGATCTGGATGTAGATAGTAAGAAGTCCAGAGGGTGCAAGGATGACTAAGGTGCAGTCCAGCCACTGAGGCGCCCATGACAGTGAAACAGACACAGAAGTGAAGGATTCACTAGATGAGGTTCTGCCAGGCCAGAGGGAATTTCACGGCAAGAAACGGCTCTGGACTAACACACAGAGTGTTTAGAAACTGTTTACAAGAACTTTATATTTTAGTGAATATTTCAGGACTTTTAAGATTTGTTTTAGAAGTTTCCAGTAAACCTTTAAAGTATCACTCTGTTTTGATTCTTTAGAGAGTCTCTTTTGATGACATTATACAAAGGATAATATTTACAGCTGGGAGTGAAAATTCATAGGCTTTAGAACTTTAGGAATATAAGATCCATATTGATATACAGGTATATTTCTTTTGTGTAGCAAGCAGTGTTTTATTGATATGATTTTCATATTTTAATAAGCAGTTAAGTTCCTTCAATTTCAAAATGAAACAAACCTGACAAACTAGGAAAGTAATGGTAGAGACGATTGTAGAAAAAGCCAAGCTTCTTATGACTTTAGTTTGGAATTTCACCTTCAGTTAATAATTTTGTTTTATAAAAACTTGTATTATGAAACAGTGTTAAAAGTGTGTCTTGGGGCTTCCCTGGTGGCTCAGTGGTTGAGAATCTGCCTGCTAATGCAGGGGACACGGGTTCGAGCCCTGATCTGGGAAGATCTAACATGTCGCAGCACAACTAGGCCCGTGAGCCACAACTACTGAGCCTGCGCATCTGGAGCCTGTGCTCCGCAACAAGAGAGGCCACGATAGTGAGAGGCCCGCGCACCGCGATGAAGAGTGGCGCCCGCTTGCTACAACTAGAGAAAGGCCTCACACAGAAACGAAGACCCAGCACAGCAAAATAATTAATTAATAAACTCCTACCCCCAACATCTTCTTTGAAAAAAAAAAAAGTGTGCCTAAGTTGTTTGAGTATTTGCTGACATGATGCTTCACCATCTCCCAATATTTTATTGTGTATTTTCTACAAACAAGGACATTCTCCAACATAACCACAATGCAGCCATCAAAATCAGAAAATTAGCATCAATATGTTAACACCGTTCAATCTTCAGACCTCATTCAAGCTGTGCAACTGATGCCCTCCTTTATTTTATTTTATTTTACTTATTTTTTTTGGCTGTGCCTTGTGGCATGCGGGATCTTAGTTCCCCAACCAGGGATTGAACCCATGCCCCCCACAGTACAAGCACAGAGTCTTAACCACTGGACTGCCAGGGAAGTCCCAACTGATGCCCTCCTTTTATAGCAGAAAGATCCAGTTCAGAGCCACACCTCATACCTAGTTTTTTCTTTGGTCTCCTTCAGTTTGTAACAGTTTTTCAGCCTTTACCGGACTCTCATGACCTTGACAGCTTGGAAGATTACAGGCCAGTTATTTTGTAGACTGTCCCTTCGTTTGGGTTTGTCTGATGTTTTCTCATGGTTGAATTCAGGACGCTGTGTTCTCATTGCATTTAGTCAGGTGTCATATGATTTCAGTTTGTCCCGTTACTGATTTAAGTTCAGTTTGATCACTTGTTTAAGGTGGTGTGTCAGGCTTCTCTACTGGAAATGTAATTAATGTGTATTTTGTGATGTACATTTACACATGTAAATATGTATTTATACATGTAAATATTCTGTTCCCCATCAAACTCTCAATTCATTTATTTATATCAGTGTGATTCATGATTTCCTAGGAAGCCAGTGAGTTGTAATCCATCATTCTCTTTGGTTTGACGCTCACATCGTCCCAGATTGGTCAGTGGGAGCCCCTTCGACACAGGCTTCTGTTTCCTTTTGACATGCCTCCTATGTGCTTTGGGTTCTTTCTTAATTCTGACACAAAAAGATGTTCTAGGTTCGTGTACTTTCTCTGCCCCAGTCCTGGTATCAGCCGTTTCTCTAAAAAGCCTCATTTCCTTTTAGTGGAGGATGATATTAGAAGTCAGGATATGAGCTCATTGCTATTGGGGTGTATCCGCCCCTGGGTCCTTTCAGTGGACAGAGCGAGGAGAGAGATGTGCTTATTTACATCTATACTTATTTCTGTATCTATATATATTGAAACTATAAGTTTGTATTGTACCTCCCATTTCTTTCCAATACTTCAGTGTTCATTCTAGTTTTCTCTCCTTCCATCGATCTAACTCCTTTTTCATCCATAGCTCTTTAATGTATTTACTTATTTGGTCAAGCCCCTGTGTGTAACTGAGCTCCCATCGCTGCTGTCCTCTCCTCACACAGCTGCCCTCCTCAGCACACTCAGGCTCAGACACCCACTGCCAGGCCACCCACCTCGCCCACTTGGGCTCAGACATTCTGCTCTGCCCTGCCCTCACCCCCATCGTGGCCACACCTGATGGCTAAGGAGTGAATTGTTCTGGAGGAGGAAGAAAATAGTTTTACCACTTTCTTTCCTTGTAGTCCTTACTATATACAATAGCGTTTTATTTTATTTTTTATTGTTTTATGCTTATTT